TAGATAAAATGAAGTAAAGCCTGTAAAGCACCAACCAGAAAAAAAAAAATGTAAAAATAGAATAAAAAAAGGCAACTAATCAACTAATTGCTGGAACATTTAAATTACATATGTAAGATTATACTGATTAAAATTCCAATTTAAGGAAATTGCCACAAACAAGTAACCAGAAATGTGGCAAGTGGCATAAGCATAATATTTATCAATGCAATTATTCAAATATTGTAAAAGGAGAAATATGTTCAACCACTCATATATTGGTTCGCGATTATGTTTCTAATAACTGAATATATCACTACAGGAATCAGAAGAACCAATTAATGCATAATTGCAGAATAGCAGAATCACATCAGTCCCGTTTTCTTAATTAAGACCTTCACAAGTAGCAGGCAATATAATATTAACCATGCTGGATAAATAGAAATTAAGACCATAATACTAGTGCACCATGTTTAGCTGAAGATCATTTATTTATGACTACAAGCATAAAATAACCACTATCAATCTCTGATATGAAAATTTGCATTACCAATCCGAGTTTATCATAATCTACAGAGCAATTTATTGGCTAAATTGCATATAAAATCACCCACTCACAGAATTTAAAAACTGCAACTAAACACGCAATTTGTAATGCGCGTTGCAAATTTAACGAGCCCACAATCTCTCTAACATAAATCCTATGCGTTGGCGCGTTGGCGAGGCTTTCTGATTTTAATAGTAAAATATGACACATTAAATCAGCCATATCAGAAGCATACGACAGTCGTGCTCACTTTTCTGATTACAAGAACATGAAAACCTCCAAGCCATTCATAGAAAAAATTCCTAACGCAGCTCAATAAATAGAGACTATTTGCAAACTTGACAATTCAATATAACCTTAGTCGTCGAAAGTTGAACATGAACTTTAATTTCTAAATTAAAAGCCGGGCATTAATTAGTGATCAAATTAATACCCTTAAACATATTTCTTTACTTTTGACTTATCAGAAAGGTGAGCACGACTGCGTGCGTGTGTTCTGGCTGACTAAATGAGTCAGCCTTTTCTTTTAAAACAGAAAAGCCACATGTGCCGATCAGGTCAAACACATAAGTTTTTAATTGTCATCATTTGGAGGCAAACTAAATTTGCAACACACAATAAATATCATAACTTTATTCGCAACTATCAAAAGGATTTGTTTTATTTGCAATTATATATAAGAGGTTGTTATATTCTTTGCAATTTGGCCAATATATTTAGAGTCAATGGAACAAATCTACTCATATATGAAATAAAGGAAATTGGAAATATATTTATGTGCATAAATAGAGAGAAAACTATACAGTATCCTACTATTCGTTAAATTACTATCAGTGGTCACCCACATTAATTTTGATAAATTTGATAGTTAACCTTTGAATATACATAGCTATTAGCTAGTGATAATTATGACACACTTGTAATTCATTTGAAATGAGAAGGGAAAATATTTAAGAAATGGATCTTTTCCGCACATGACTTGATGGAAATGGAAATGAAAATGGATCAAAGGGAGAACATAAAAGAATTATTTCAAAATATAAGCCTTATAGAAAAAATTAAGCCAATTATGCAAAAACTACACTAGAGGATTTCGGAGGGTTTTATGAAGTACCTTAAAAACAGGTGGCTCCACGTCTTCAATCTTTATACACTGTGTATTTTGATCCTTCATTGGACCATATAATTGAGCTCTAAATACTGGCGAACGAGCAGCAAGAACCAACTTGTGAGCAGAAAAAGTTTCTCCATCAACTTCAAAATTTACATCAGTGCCTTTTCCACTTTCCAGCAGTTGCCCAAAATGCTGACCAATATCTGAAGGAGGCACTGGTATTGAGTAGGTCTTAGGTCCCTCTGTGCGAGACTTAACTACACCAACACAGCAACGAACTTGAAGGCAATCGTCTTTAAGGTAGTCAGATGTTTCCAGGGCAGATCTTTTGAAGAAACGCTTGTAACCCCTGCAATCAAATTAAACTTTATGTTATCTCCCTTCAAATACTTTCACAACCTGACAACCTGCATTCCAATTCTCCTTCGCATAAATCGTCCGGCAGCAAGAACTTTCACATTTTGAGTATTCTCTACTAGATCCTCAACTTCCATTCAAGTAACTCAATCAAGAGACAGTTGCCCAATAACCAAAGTCAACATTACACTCATCTACGCTGGGGAATAAATCATTCAACATTAACTCCACACCAAGGAAATTCTAGCCCGTAACTAAAAAACAAAATCATCGACAATTCATCAAGCTCCTCAAGTCACAATC